AGAAAGAAAGAAAGAAAGAAAGAAAGAAAGAAAGAAAGAAAGAGAAAGAAAGAAAGAAAGAAATCTATTTGCATTACTGAGTTATAAACCCAGCTTCAAGAAAGCTCACTGTGGCTCTTTGCAAGACTAGCAAGATTACTGTCCAGCTTTCACAAAGTGGTGGATTTCTCAACAACTGACTGCATTGTGATCTCTCATGCCTCAGAGGTTACAGTCTCCTTGGGAAACTAAAATACAAACATTAAAATGTTGATTAACAATAAAACCATATCCCAATGAGAGATGCAGATAACTAATGAGAACTTAGAAAATGGATCTGTGCAGTGAAAGTGGGGTGAAGGCCATCCTCTTGCAGTTGAACTTAATGAGCTGGGATTTAAGATCTAACAATGTTAAAGTCAATGGGAAGCCATGAATCAGTTTTCAAAATTTCAATTGCTCATGACACATGAGATGGTTTCCAAGATGTTCACCAAATTTGTCACCCTTCTGTTGATGGCTCCAGTTACTTAAAATCTCCAACCATTCTCTCTTTCCCTTTTGTTTAAGGTAATATTCCAGATATGTACCAAAAAGTTTATGGAACCATTATCTTTAACACAATACTTCCATTAATGAATTCATTAGCATTTTGACACTCATGTCCCACCATTGCCTCACATTGAAATGCCCACATGACTTATAGCTAAGGTCAGTCTCTCTCATCCTATAATTAATGTAACTGATTTTTTTAAAATCTAAACTCATCATTGATCTACGGAGATAGTTTTGCACTTTAAATCTTTCATACACTGTCTCAACCGTCCCTCCCAGCTTTGTGTCATTTGTAAATCTAATAAGTATGTCTTGTATATCTCCATCTGTCATTGAATAGGGCAAATATTGTGCTTAGTAGACTAAAGGACACTTCTTTCTAGGCTGACAGCCATTCAATGTTTGAGGGTTCAGTCAGTCATCCATGTGCATACATTAATCAATTCATATCTCTCTTATCAGTAAGGATAAGAGTCTCTGCTAACATAAAGGTGTATATTATGTCTAAGGTATTTGCCTGATTTATGAGTCAAATAATCTTTTTTAAAAAATGATATTCATTTCAGGGAATTGAAACTCCAAATGGCTCATTTAATCGTTGCTTCTCTACAGGTTTTTAGATGCTCTCTAAAATTTACATCAGATTTACCAGCATGGAGTTTCTGGATGCATGCTTATTTAATGTGGGAATATTTAATGTCTAAGCACTCACTAGTTGGCTGTTTGGTTTCTTTTAAGGCTTTCTGGTTTTCACTGGCATCAACTGTGACATGGAGTCTGAATTTCATTTTCAGAGCTTTTCATTTTTCTTGGACTATCTTTCATTTTCTTTATTTTCCATACTACTGTATTTTCTGAGGTTTTATAACATCTCTTCGTTTAAAGTCTAGTTATGTATCTGACTTTGCTAAGTAGTCTTGACTATTATGAAATCTTAGATAACATATTTATTTTCTCCTGAGGTTCTTATCTACTTTGCTGACAATTTGTATCCAATAATTCAACTGGGGAAAGCAGTAGTCCTTTTAAATGAACTTATATTCAAAGAAAGCCAGGAATATTCCAAAGTTCTTGTTTATAGAATAATGAAATTTTATGTTAAAATTCTCATTGCTGCCATATGTGGTCTCAGAGTTTTATGATTAGTGTTAGAAATTGTTATTCAGATTTTAATATAGCTGTCCAGTCTCTGCAGACTTCCACAATAATAACATTTTTCTTCATCTCTTGTAAAGAAAAGAAACTTTGCATGTACTAATATGGAAAGAAATCACATTATATTAAGTTTTAAAAAACAAGGTATATTTCATACATAAATAGAAACATAGAAAATGAAATTTATTTGGAAAATGGATTGAGGAGATAGAGTAAAACTAGATTTTTATTCCTTTTTAAAATTGATATATAATTAGTATATAGCATTATGATAGTTTCATCATTTTTTATTTTTGTAATTTGGAAAAATAAAAAATTATTCATAAAGTATAAAATATATTGTTTTGTATAACAAATGGGTAAGCTTTCAGCTCACAAAATAATGTATTGAATCTCAAGATAGCAAATTAAAAAGAAGTGAGAGCATATACACTCTTTTCTTACCACAGGGGAAGTTATTTTATTAATCAAGAGATATCTGCCAATTCCAACTTCTGTAGGAAACTTAAGGCACAAATTTAGATTGAACATTATTTTATAAAGGTATCTAATAAACTCATTCTTTTTAGACCATAATTAATCCCCAACCATTGAATTCAAGATTGAGGAAAGGCCTCTAAAAGCAAGAAACAATTTAATGTTTTTCCAAGCAAACTTATCAGCATACATAAGAAAATAATACAAGTGGGTGCCTGGGTGGCTCAGTCGGTTGAGCATCAGACTTCAGCTGAGGTCATGATCTCACAGTTCATGAGTTCAATCCCCACATCAATCTCACTACTGTCAGCACAGAGCCTTCTTCAGATCCTCTGTGCTCCTCTCTCCCTCCCTCCCCTGCTTGCACTCTCTCTCTCTCTCAAAAATAAATAGACCTTAAAAAGAGAGAGAGAGAATACAAGTTGTTAAAAGTGGCATGGCTAAACTTCTCCCAATCAAGGATGAAATTTATCGTCTCACCTTAAACAACTAAAACATCTGAAAACAAAGTGTAAAACAATAGTTTTTCATACACTGGCCAATAGACAGCACAGAGCAGTCACCCCTAAGAAAGGAGAAACAAGCCCTACAATTGCCCCAACATTCTCCCTAGAGAGTTTCCAGGCCAAAGCTCAAGTAAGAGGAATTTAAACAAAACTCAGCAGTTCCCTTCTAGACATAAAGGATACCATGCCTAAAATGAAAATAGTCTACTAGGTGGGATTAACAGTAGCTAAAACACTGAAGAAAATATTGTTGACTTTGAAGACACAGTAATAGAACAATACAAAATGAAACAAGAAAAAAAAAGCTGAAAAGGAAAACCGTGAATCAGTGAATTGTAGACAACATCAAGCAGCCTAACATAAGTATAATTAGAATTACATAAGAAGAGAAGAGAGATGGGTAAACAGAAAAAATATTTGAGTAATGTCCAAAATTTTGACAAATTTAATGAAATTTCTAAATACACAAATCCAAGAACCACAATGAATGCCAAGCAGGAAGAAGAAAAAGAAGGAGAAGGAGGAGGGGAAGAAGACCATACCAAGGGACATTACAATCAAATTTCTTAAAACCAGTGATAAAGGGAAAAGTCTTAAAAACAGCCAAAGATACAAGAAACATTAAATACAAAGAAGAGAGCAAATATCTCATCAGAAACAATGGAATCCAGATGTTAAAAAGTCCTTAATGCATAAGAAAGGATACAAGTTGGAAATCTGGATCTGCATAATGAAATAAAGAACACTGGAAATGGCAAATACATGGGTAAATATTAGAAATTATTTTTTTCTCTTTAAATTTCTTTAAAATATAGTTGGCTTTTTAAGGGGAAAAATCACAATGAATTATGGGTTTTATAGCACATGGAAGTAAAATATATTACAACACTAGGACAAAGGTGGGATGATGGGTAAATGCAAGTATTCTTTTGTTAAGGTTTTTACACTCTATATGAAATGGTATAATGTTACTTGAAGGTAGACTATAAGTTAAACATGTATATGATAAACTTCAGAACTTACATAAAATAAAACAAAGTCAAAAAATAAAAATAAGGCAAATAAAAAGAAGAAGAATGAACAAATGGTATGTAGAAAACAAATAGCAAGATGGAAAATTTAAACACAGATGGAGTTTTATTCATTTTTTATTTTTACTTTTAAAATTTTTTGTTTATTTTTATATTTTCTTTTTTTCTTTTTTTGAGGGAGGAGGGGCAGAGGGAAAAGGAAAGAGAAACTCTTTAAAAGCATGTTTTTAATGCTTATTTTTATTCTTGATAGAGAGAGAGAGAGAGAGAGAGAGAGAGACAGAATGTGAGCAGGGGAGGGGCAGAGACAGAGGGAGACACAGAATCCAAAGCAGGCTCCAGGCTCTGTGCTGACAGCTCAAAGCCTGACATGGAGCTCAAACTCACGGACCATGAAATCATGACCTGAGCTGAAGTTGGACACTTCACCAACTGAGCCACCCGGGCACCCTTGGAGAGAGAAAACCTTAAGCAGGCTCCACGTCTAGCATAGAGCCTGACTCCAGGCTCAATCTCACGACTGTGAGACCATGACCTACGCCAAAATCAAGAGTCAGAGGATTAACTGACTGAGCCACTCAGTCCCCCGCAAATGTATTTTTAAAATTACATCAGATATGAATGGTCTGAACACCAAATAAAGGAGATTTTTAGAAAGGTTAAAGTTTCTATGCTTTCTATAAGAAAACTCCTTTAAAAATAAAGTCACAAAATAAGTAAAAAGTCAAAGATCAGAAAACACTGTGCTGCCACAAATCAAAGGAGTGCTGAAATAATTTTATTAATATGACATAGAGTAGATTTTTGAGTACAGAGTTTTAAAGGGGATAAAGAACATTACTTTATAATGATGAAGTGGTCAGTTCAAGAAGATATGATAATTTTATTTTTTAAATGTTTTTATTTATTTATTTGTGAGAGAGTGAGAAAGAGAGAGAGCACAAGTAGGAGAGGGGAAGAGAGAGAGAAAGGGAGAGAGAATCCCAAGCAGGCTCCACACCATCAGCACAGAATCTGATACAGGGCTTGATCTCATGAACCAAGAAATCATGACCTGAGCTGAAACCTAGAGTCAGATGTTTAACCACTTGAGCCACCCAGGCACCCTGATATGATCATGTTCTGTTCTCATGGAATTTATAGTGGGGAGAGAAAGGACACAGTTCACCAATATCAGGAATGGGAGAGGAGACGTCACCATTGATGCTACACACATTCACATGATAACAAGGAAATACTATAATCTTTACACTGGCACCTCTCAGGGCCAAACTTCCATCTAGGGTACCTGATAGACAGGGCTCAGATAATTATGCTTTATGTCTATCTCTGAATGAATATAGACTTATATACATTAAAATGTATATCCTTTCTTAAACTGTAAGCAATTTTTACTAGAAATATAAATGCTACAATTTTTTTTTTTTTTTACTTTTAGGTACGTATCCATTTTTAAGGCCTCTATTAAAGATAATACGCAAAAATGTAAAGCTGCAATGAAGACTATGGGGCCACCAAAAGTTGAACTACCTTCTCCAAAGAATTTCCTGAAGAAACATTCAATGGAAAAAACTCTACCACCCAGTAGGTTTCATCACTCTTTTTAACATTAAAAGTGCTAACAGCGGGGTACCTAGGTGGCTCAGTCAGTTAAGCAGTTGACTTTGGCTCAGGTCATGATCTCATGGTTTGTGAGCTGGAGCCCCACACCTGGCTCCATGCTGACAGGATGGAGCCTGCTTGGGATTCTCTCTCCCTCCCTCCCTTTCTGCCCCTCCCCCACTTGCCCTTTCTCTCTCTCAAAATAAATAAATAAACTTGAAAAAAAGTGCTAACAGATAATTTAACTAGAATTATCTTACTGCCTATGAATATTAAATGTTCATAGGTGATTGGTTTACCTCATATTTAACAGAAACTGAGAGGCTAGGAGAAAGTAGAAGTAGAGAATTCAGTGGAAAAAGAAGGTGGAGAATGCTGAGTTATACCCCAAATAGCCTTTCCCTGTTATGGTGCATACATCTGAATGACATCTTGGACTATTTAATGAAGCCCTACCGCTAGCACCACATGCCTCACCATCCTAGTCCCTAGCCGTATGACTTCAGTAACAAATGACAATTATAAGAAGAGTCCTAAGCCCCAATGAGAAGATGGCCTAGCATCTAAACCCTGTCTGGTCTTCCCTGCAAGAGATGAGAATCACAACTGTTATACCAGCTGAAGCAACTATCAGGCATGGGCTTTAACTCTCCCAGATCTCTAAGACCATTAGGACAGCAAATAAGTCAGGTGTAATGGAGGACCCTTCGTGAATGAGTGATAGACAGAGCCAGCTTCTCGGGCATTCGCATGGGGAGGGCCACATGCTGAGGAGCTTGGTTTAATGCTTTGCTTTTGCCGTCTTGAAATTCTTGATGTTTGATCAAGGTGCCCCATGTTGTCTTTTTGTACTAGGCATTGAAAATTATGTAATAATGGTCATCGAGCATGTAGATTTTAGGAAGAAGGCTATCTGGAAAATGGGTGTATGCATGGAAGAAGCTTCTTCCCATCCTGGGTGTATCTTTCCTGATATTTTAAGACAATAGAGAGGAGAGAGAAATTAGTCTCTCTCTTTTAAAAAGTTAGCCTTTTTTTGTCACCTGGCATCAAGAAAATAATTCAACACCTGAAGTCCAGCTAGGATGGATCTTTTGACAAAAGTGGAACTATTTCTCCCTATGGCAATATTTGCTATCCCACAATCCTCTTGCAAAACCCATGTGCCATGACAAAGGATGAGGACATTATCAGGAAAGAGGGAAAAAAGCACATCTAAACATCCACGCATAAGTTCATGTCTTCAAAAGTCTATTTTGTGTCTTTCTCAAGAGGAGTCTTGGTATTTTGTGACTCACAACCACTTGTGAACACTGGAAAATTGTAAAATGAAATTAGTTTATGTCAGTGATATTAGTTGGGTTCTCATGTATCCTCTGTAAGGTTAAGCACATTATACAATACACTGCCAAACTATATAAATCCTAAACATCAAATAAGGAAAAAAGGGAAGAAGTCTATCTCTCCCATTATAACAGGACAACACAAGCACAAAATTATATCTGCCTTATGAATAATCAAGAAAGCTGGGGTGTTGTAAGAGTTCAATACAATGAGTTAAAGGTTATATATATATATGTGTGTATATATATATATATGTAT